CTTGGTTAAACAAAAAAAAAAAAAAAATGAGCTTGCCTAGTTAAGAATATCCTTCCTGGTTACAAAGTTTCCTTTTCTTTTTTTTTTTGGTGTTTGTACCTTTTCACCGCCTCGTTGTGCTAACGCTTGGGGTGAAATATGCACTAGAAGCTGAGGAGGAATTTTCGGTACCCACGCGGTCATCCTCGTCGGTTTCAAAATCTCCCATTTCCTCATCTTCCTCTGAAGGAAAGCTGCTGCTGGACTCACTCTCTGCCTCGACAGCGTTGCTACCGCCCGTAAATAATGTAGCCGGTGCGGCATCTGTCTTTGGATCGTATGGGTCGTGATAGACATGATGTTTCTGTGATGGTGGACGTCCTGTTGAGAGACTCTCTGAGCTTGGCGTGTGGCTGGACGGGTATGGTCCTGCCGTGTCATCATCGTCTGGTGGAGCTGTTACGCCGTAGGGAGTGCGCCGTGCGGGGTACGGTGCTTGTTTTTGTTGAGAGGATGATGTATTTGGATTGGGCTCAACGGGAATATCACCAAAGAGCTCCTCCTCTTCATCACTGTCAAAATCATCATAGTCTCCCGAGTCTTCGGTGTCACTGTTATCACGAATATCATGACCTTCAGAATCATCCTCTGCGGGAAATACGGAAGAAGACTCATCATCATCTATGGCGTCCCAATCTACATCCTTCTGCTGATCATGTAAGAAAAATGGTACATTTCCTTCTCCCGGTGAGGGTTCTGTTGGGGTCCATTTTAAGTTGTTGAGTCGCTCCTCTCGAGCGTTATTGGTATTCTTACGGGCAAGATAAATAGCAGTAAAGATCGTGGCCAAAAAGAGATATCCAAGAGTAACATAAACAGGAATAAGAGCGTAGGCCATACGAGCCGTATCCTTCCCACGTGTAATACGTACAGCGACGAAATAAAGGGATGTAAGCAATCCACCATTGAAAAGGAATGCCCCAAGGGTATCAAAGGCCACACCACAGGCACTCTTTATCCCAATAGTGCGTAATACCATACTCCGCATAAACGCCTCAAGTACACGAAAAGCTGCACGAAAGGCAAATGGGGAAAACACAGCGTACCAAGACATCTCCGTTTTTTCGTCTATCTTTTTTCCAATAAAAACCCATTGAATAACCGATAACACAATATATACAATTGCTAATAGAAAAAATCCATAACATAGAAATCTACTGGGACGGTTTAAATCCACCTTCATTTGCAAGCGTATTCGACGAGGCCAACGCCATACCAAAGATGATAAGTAATATATCACATCAGCTATAATAATAATAATGAAATAATTCACAAATGTTCTGGATTCATTTGTTGGATCATCATCCACTTTTGCTGCAATAGCAAAGGCAAAAACTGTATAAAGGATAGCTGAAATTAAATTTCCAATAGCAGGAGCTCGTTCAATCCATTGCATACCCTCCTCTCGTGGGGCCTTCATACAGAAACTTACAACCGTAGCTACACCAGTGACAATTACTGTAAGAACTGCAAGTACAAAAAGCGGGGCAACAACACGCATCCATGACCATGTAATGACATCATCAACGCGAGCGCCCAAAAAAGCAAAAAATAATATCATCAAAATAAGAGCCAAAAGCATAGAAGCGGAGTAACATGCAATAGCCCCTTTTGCACCTAGTAATAGAATGAGCGGACCCCAGTTTCCACTGTGGATGAATCCAACTGCATCTTCACCAAGAATATCATAGAGACTCTTACGATCTGAATCACAAAGTACAAGATAAGCTTGATAAAAATGATGACGCAATGTTACTTTTCGAAAAGTCCATTGCACCTGTTTGGCCGTCACCGGTGGCTCTAGATCAAGCAAATGATACAGTCTCCAGTTATGGGTGTTCCTCTTCTCTGTGTCACAACCCATGATTTTGTATGATTATAATATTGCTCGCCCAATAGAGGTTAATAATCCAATGCTTAAGTAAATTCCCCAAACAGGTACACACTTCCTTTTTTCTCTAATGTATATATATATTTTTTTTTTCTTTTTGGCCCTCTATCTTTTTATTTTTTGCAGTTTCTCTTTCGCTTTCTTCTTTTGGCCCAGAGGTTTTTTTATTTATTTCACTTGATTCCTTTCTTTCCCTCTTACTTCCTACAAATGAAGAGAACTCAGGAAGAGAAAAACAGACGTGTCACGTTTGCATTCTAGTGCAGATTACCCCATATATATATATATATATATATATATATATAATACCTCACGGTGCGGCTGTAAAAAAACTAGAAGTGAACGAGAAAATAAAGAAAAAAAAGGTGATATGGACGCAAAGAGTAAAAAAAAAAAAAAAAAAACAAGAGAAAACAACTCTACAAAAATAAAAAGGCACTCAGAAATATCTTTTTTTTTTTTCTATAGTTTCCCGTATACTAAGGAATATAATTTTCTGTAAAACCCAAACAGAAATATCTCCCCGGTTTCTCGATTATTATTATTTTTTTTTTTTTCCTTTTGGTTCTTTCACACTCGTTTTTTT